AGAACAATATACAATGTGAAAACATGTTTTACTCAATGATTTTTAAATAAAGTTAATGCAGTTTTACTTTTTGACTGGTTTAGTTTGGGGACAGCCTTTTAATGAAGTGCTTTACTGAGATAAAGTAGTTCTCCGACATAAACCAATGTAGTTTGGAGTAAAACAAAAAGATTTCAACACTCGGGATTGAGACGTTACTTACAGATAGGTGCTCGGGTTGCTGCGAGAGCAGGTCGCTTGGTACCAATGACCGTAGCCGCTGGTTTAACCGGATCTGCATCCTTACGGAGTCTCTTCTGCAAAACAAAAGACCCCATTAGCATACAGTGAGAACAAACCTGAGTCTTGCGCAAGTTTCAGGGTAAACCCTAAGCCTTCTAAGATACCTGCTTGTGCATGTGAGGATGTCTCACCTCCAGCAAAAATTAAACTCACAAATACTTAACAGTAATCTAAAAGTCAGACAGTAGCAGTAAAAAGGTAAACAGAAGGGTTTACACAAACCTGTGCAGGTGCCAAGTCCTGGGCATTCTCCGCGAGTACCCTCTTACTTGACATTACTGGCAGGCGGGACATGCTCTGTTGTGGGCTAAGAGGTGAATTATTGTTAAAACAGATACAAAGAAAAAAAAACTTGTTTATTTCTTCATCATGAACAGCCATGTTTTCCTCACTTCAAAGCTGTACTGCCACTCAATAAATCATTTTGCGTTTAAAACCCACTCGACATTTTAACACTCTGTCGTCTGTATTTAAAAAAAAAAAAAGTAGTAATCCTTCGTCAAAGGAGCTTGCAAAGAAAAGCGTCTGGACTTCTTTAAAAGTTCTTCTTCGTGTTACCCGAGATGCAGTTGTATTTACCATTAAGCACACCAAGAACAACAACAGTCACTTGCATATCACGTGCCACATTTATTTTGACAAGACAGTAACAACGTGGTAAAGCCAGGTTTTATTAAGTAGCTGTTAAAATAACGTTGGCGTCTCCGATGAGACTTGGGTGTACTAGTAACTAATACAATGGAGACGTGTTGCACGGTGATCCACACCTGCTTGGATATAACACTCATATAAAAGTGCCTGCTAATAATGAAAATCAATCACACGAAAACGTAATATTTACGTTTACAGTGAAAAATCACACGATTTAGTGTTAACTCAACTCAGATAAACTTTTAATAGACCCCTATAACAGAGGTCCGACTTTAGTAACTTGCCGAGTATGATAAACAAAGCCACTGTGTCCACAGTTTTTAGCATTTACATTAACCAAACTTAACTTGCGTAATTATCGAGTTAAACCAAGATAGAAAATCTTACTGGAACACGCTAATTTTTAAATCAGCTTCGATTAAATTACATAAAGACATCACCGACACTAAACCCGTCCGTATGATCGCTAACGTTGACGGCAGATATACCCTTAGTACGAAAAGGAACTTCTACATTAAATTACAAAACTTTGCGCTTACGGTTTTTGTCGAGTTCCGCAACACAAACTGCAGATTAAAACACACACTTCACTGTAATTTATGAAACAACTACCTTAAAAACAACTTCAGTGTCCGCGGGATCTCCGTCCTCGACCGTTTAAATTTGAATTGAACTATCTTGGTGAGCGTCTTGCCGTGATTGGCCGAGATAGCCCGAACCCCGCCCCGTACGTGTGTATGCGTGTTTTGACTTTCGGAGTTTTCTGCTTGGGCGGGATATACCCTGTTTCCATACTTGTCTCCAGTGCTAAAGGCCAAATTCTAACTGACTTTTTATACATTTTATTCACACAATTAAAAAAAAGTCGTATAATTTTAGTATATACGAATCGCTTTCTTTTTCAAGTACATTAATTAAAAATGTATATAATTGTTATAATCCATTTTTTTAAGCTACTCTGTTTAAAATAAACATCATACGGTGGCCCGGAGGTGCAAAAGGCAACTGTTTGGGGGAAAAAACGCGCATTGACTTATAATTCTTATCATTTCTATTCCAAAGCTTAAAACACATCTTAAAACGCCTGAAAGAAGTAGTGTAAAACATTAAATTACGTGCTTTGGTATGGTTTGCTATGTTCACAGAAATATAATCTGTTCTTTTTAATTGTTGTGATAAATAATTTTTATGACAGAAACCTTTGGACTGCTTCTGGTAAGACACACGTACACTGTATAAAAATCCATGTGCAGTTTGTATATGCTTTCCTAGCAAAAGCATTGTTTTTCTACAAATGGAGCTAAAATAAACACATCACGTTGTAGGTCTTGGTGTAGACAGTCTTCCAAGCATGTAAATCCTTTTCATATCATTGCTAAGCCTTTGCAGCATAGTCCACTGCAATTTCCAAACCACGTGGGGATGGTAGAATCACAGATTCCCTGAACCTGAATCAAAAATTCAACTTCATTAGTTTTGAGAAAAATACCCCTTGATCTTTACCCTGGGTATCTAGGATAAAACTGACCACGTGGAGCTACATGCTGTAACAAAAGAGCAGCCAAAAGTAACTTTCATTATAAATGTTCATTAATAATATGTACTGTTGATTTTAATAAAATACCAATAAAAAAATGTAGTGCTTTCATCATAAACAGGTTTTGAACTTTATTCTCCATAAGGGAAGAAACAGTCTGTTCAGATGAGCAAGAGGTGTAACTGTGCATACAGTATGAAGAGTGTAGCATAAGAGGGCAGTTAACTGTATTATCAGGAGCATTGGTAATAACATTAACAAGAATATTGAGAATGGGTTATTTCTCATAAAAAGACACAATGAAATACAAGGAGTATACATGGAGACAATCAGCCGTCTGTATGGGCATCCTGAACATTTCTGATTGGTTAGAGACGGCGTGTGCGGTGTCCCAGGTCACCAAGGTCACAGCTTCTCATAATCATGCTTTAATTATTTGCAGATGTATCATGGATACGTTAGTTTTAAATATCATATGGTTACAGTATTAACATGGTTCTCTGAGTAATTGAGACCATTTTTTCCCACAAGTTCAGGAATCAATCCCCAACAGTAAACTTAGCACAACAACACCTGTACAGATGTGGAATTACATATTTTAGCCAAACTGCACCTCTGGGAAGCCCCAGTGGTCCCTGTTTATAATGTATTAGGGATCCACCAATATTGGTACATATTCACCATCAATGTCACTGGGATACTGATAAATATGAGATTTGGCTAATTATCTGTTGTGTTACAATTATATGACTGAGTAATTGGGAATGGGAATAATTTAGGAGACTTGAGAATGCCATTTTAGCTCATTGATAATTAAGTTATTTTCATTTCCTTAGTACAAAACAACTTGTTACTTTAAAAATCTGTATAAATTCATCCACACTGTTGCCCCAATTTCCATTAGTCCAGGGAACAATACTCAGGTCCTGCCCTACAGTGAACCTATATAACAAAAGCACAAATGTGGAATTAGAGATAGTTTTACCAAAGTGCTTCCCTTATGCCCAAAAATATTTTAAATGACTAATTAAAGTCCCTGCTAATTTTCTTCTTGCAATTCACTGATATTGGTACAATATCTGTGCCGTTGCCTGCCATTGGGATTAAGTTATGAGGACAGAGTTTAGAAAAGTATTTATATGATTTACAAGGCAGAGCTTTAGAGTTCACTGACATCAAAAGGGAACAAATAGATACATCCTAATTCTTTGCCTAATTATCACACATGAGGTTTAGTTGACTCCTCTCTGGTTACGTCCTAATTAAGATCAGTTTCACAGTCTGTAGATGGTGGCTGTGGTTGTGATAAAGAAAACAATTATTCTCCCGTCATCTCCTCACTTTGCTGAGCGTGACGGTCTCACAGCCCGTCAGCTTTAAAGTTGACCTGGGACACTGCCAGTGATTTGGTACATGTTAATTTGATTTCCTTTAGTTTTCATAGATGCTTTACACAAGACATACTTCCCTTTTACAGATGAAAAAGTCTTTTCTATGTATTTTATGTACAGCATACTGCAATATCATAATGCCTCAGATTGATAATAATGTGGATAACATTTGCAATACAGTTATAATGGAAGTAGTAATAATATGTATGAAAAGTTCTTTAAAAAAAAAAGATTAATAACAGTACCTGTCAGCCATTTTCATCACACAATCATTATTTTCCCAACAACCATCCTGACAATAACAAACTGGGCTGCCTTAAGTCATTGGAGGACAGTAAACAGTTGAATAGCAACAAAAAAAAAAGAAAAAAAAAGGGACCAAGACGTTCTGTTAGGACTTTTCTCTCTGTTCCATCACATTCATGCGCTCACGTTGCTTTCTGTTTGATCACACATTTCTCTGTTGGTAGAAAAATACATACATATGATATATAAAAAAAAGGTAAAGGATGAAAAACATAGGCGTGAAATAAGTTTCATCAAGTGCTTTCGTTATGACCCCTCCCACCCCCGTTTTTTCTCTCTTTCTGTCGTGGTTCCTGCTGCGGACTCCTTACATTTAGTGCATTCTCCGACCGATCGCGCTATCTTATTTAATACTTTGGGAAATGTTTCCTCGCTCCTCTGAGAGGAGGTGGGTGTAAATAAGGACATCATGATCTGTGAAATGTACACTTTTGAGATTCGGCTGCAGGCTTTAGCGAGACTTCCCAAACGCACGCTTCATTTTTCTTCCTGCTGCTCTTTCCTTTGTAGCTCCAATTCAGTGTTTCTGATGTAGTCTGTGACACCTGACTGTGCCTTTCAGATGCTGTTTAAACATTTCTGCACCGCTGCTTCAGATGCTCTCATGAATCTCTACAGTCTCCCATCATTCACTCCTTTTTTGTTTTGGCTTGAACTAATAAGTGATGAATGTTCAGATTAATGTGATCTGAATGTCTTCAACATTTACACTATTCTTTGGACCATAACTGCTCAAAGAATAGTGAAATTATTTTTTTAATTTTACAGATATTTTACACCTTTATCCTCCAAAGATCCCTCAGTCAGGACTGAGAGATACATGGCAAGTGGGCTCAGGAATCAAGAAGCACACTGTAAAATATCTGTGTAAGTAATTTATGGTTGTACTCAGCATCAAAGCTTCTTAAGTGGGTGAATTCAAATTTACTTCTATCCATGATTGTATTGCATTACCCGACTAACCGCTTTTAAAAAATAATCTCACTGAAAGCTACAGAAGTCTAAACTGAATACACTAGTGTTTTTACACTTTCAAATTCAGTGATGTGTCAATAAAATAGAAGATCTGAATTATAGAAATTCACCCGATCAGCTGTTTTTCCCCTGATTTTAAGAAGGCTCTAATACTGAATACAGTTAAATTACTTGTACATATGGACCATTTTTACTCGACTAATCCCTCGAGCAGAGCAGGAAGACGCAGCCTATGAGTTCATGTGCTCCACCTGTATGGCTGATGTGGAGACGGTTAGGCAGAGGTCTTTGTGGGTCACTGGCAGGTCTGCCACAGTGACTGGTTTGTACTGGATCTCGCTGGCTGACACTGTCTTGTACTGGTGTAGATCAAATGGGCAGGGGACCACAGATTCTGTGGGTTGCTGTTGTGGCTGGTAGCTGCCTGGGGGTCCAGGGTTTGGGTTCTGGTTGTTGTTAGGGTTCGTCTGGTTTTGGAGCTGGCTCGCTCTGCCCGCACCTCTCCCTCGACCGCGGCCTCGGCCCCTGCCTGGTGTCAGACCCTGGGCCTGCTGAGCAGCTACTGTTGCTGCCACTGTTAATGGGTCGGGGTTGTGCTTCTTCATGTGTTTCATTAGATACGTCTCCTGGAGAACGGATGACAGAAGTAGAACACATGATGTCAGGAAAGAAAAACAGGAACAATGTGTTTTGATTTTTTTTAAACTATTAATATAGCTTTGTGGTTGTATGGCATCACTAACCAGCCATTTAACCCTCTCAAGGCAGGTGTTGCCGATTTGCAACAGTTAAAAACTAACAACCTGATTACCCCACATAAATATTTTATGAGTTTTTTTTTACTCAGAAGTACCACTGCAGGACTTGGTTGTGCATTAGCAACAAAAAGTTTAATTTGAGCCTGAGAGCGTTAATATTTATAGTGAATGATTTTTGAGTGAATGAGTTTTGCTGCTGGGCAGAAAAGTGCTGCAAAACATCTGGATGTGAAAGTGAAGCTAATCTTTTTTTAGCTTTTGGGTAAACAATTTAATCCACATTAGACATTTGTGCCATCTGAAGACTAAATGAACATTTGTGTTCAATCTGAAGAAATATCCTTCACACACTCCCAAAATATCTATGAACAACTAGGGCTGGGCCATATCATACCGTTCACGGTAATACCGGTATGATGTTGGGCAACTATAAGAAAATGAAATATCACGATAGAATATGGGTAAAACGCACATGTGCAGTGTCTTTGTTTACATACGCACATGGCGGTGACGGAGAATAAGAAGGGCGAAAGTGGATCGTTGAATGAAACGGATGAACCAGAGTTGGTTTGTAAAAATGCTGCAACGTCAGTGGTGTGGAACTGGTTTAGCTTTCGTCCGTCAGACACACAACAAAGCACTATTTTTGGTAGAGCATGCTAGCGGGCCGTCGTTATTACCGTCTTTTTTGGAAAATACGGCACACTTAAAATCAATCCTTGGATTTTTCTGAAAATCGACAGAGCCCCTTATAATCCCGTGC